CGGGATAAGATACGGGGTAAAAAACTAGTACCTCCGAGGTACTAGTTTCCGGAAACCGCGGGGCAAGGGCGGGCGTCTGATCGCATTTCCGGTGGTAGTTTGTGGCATCTGGCGCCCGGCCATGTCCCCTCGCAAAAAGGTTTTTTTTCCCCCAAGTCTCCACGGGATGCGCACAAGCACCCAACGGAGCATGCGCACACTTCAGTTTAAAAAAAACAACCCAGTTTGCTGCACCGCCCCGCTTCTTTGCTTGTGGTGTGATCAGCACCTCCCCCCTAACCACGGGACCTCAACGGGACCTCAACCGGATGTCTGATCGCGCAGCCGCGCGTTATTTTGCTCCGGGGCAAACAGCCACGTCCCCCCCCCCTGCGTGCGCATTTTCCAACCCGTGTGACCAGAGCCTAGGTTCTCCTCTAGTAGGTTTTAGTCTATTAGGTCTATACGGAGACTTTTGGAACTAATGGCCACTACAACTGCAGTGGTTCCTTTTCCCCAATTATTCACGAGACCCCTTCAGAAATGGTTTCTCAGATCCATCAACGTGCAGTCAGATTCCCTCTGGTAGAAATTATCCATACCCAGATGGGTCATTCATTCTTTAAATTGGTGGTCCTCCTGGGAGAACCTACTAACTGGCCCCCCATTTGGGATGCCATCACATGATATCCAAGTTTTTAATGACACATCCCTTTCAGGCTGGGGGGTGCACTGTTGCCATCACCAGGCTAGCAGCTACTGGTCCCCCTGTGAATGGGGGATGCACATTAAACTGCTAGAAGTCAGGGCAGTTAGATACGCTTTGATTTCCTTTACATCCCTCGTCACCAGCAAGTGGGTGATAATAGCTATAGACAAGACTACAACAAAGTTCTACATAAACAAGCAGAGAGGTACTGAACACATGAGCACATGAAGCTGCCTTATACTGAATCAGACACTTTGTCCACCAAAGTCAGTATTGTCTACTCAGACTGGATCTCAGGAAAAGGACTTCCACATCACTTCCTACCTGAGCCTTCTAACTGGAGAAGCCAGGGATTGAACCTGGGACCTTATGCATGCACACTGTATTGTTAGAGGCTATCCACATTGCCAGGTTGGCAAATGTGACAGCAGACACTATCAGCAAAGATAAAGTTTGAGTCCAGTGGCACCTTTAAGATCAACAAAGTTTTATTCAAGTAATAAGCTTTCATATGCATGCATGCACACTTCTTCAGATACAATGAAATGGAAGTTACCAGTCCATACATATAGGTAGAGGGTGAGCAGTAAATTAGCATACAGCATAATGAAGATGTTTACAGATTCAAGGACCAAAGAGGAATAACAAGCTTGATTTATATAGTTACGTTTTGCTTTGGTTTAATTCCAGGGGAAAACATAGTGAAGGGAAGAGTACCTGGTAGGGCTCCCCCCACCCCAGACGTACTGTGGCCATAGTTAGGGTTTCTGCATAGGTCTCTGCACCATGCACCATGTAAGCCGCTCAGAGCCCTTCGGGGGTGAGCGGGGTACAAATTGAAGGTATAAATAAAATAAATAAATGTCAAAATTGGAGCTTGATGTGGAATGCTGAGAGTAATTAACTGAGACCCTGCCATTATGCTCCATCCGTCTACTCTCAAGCATGGAGGCAACCTTACAGCATCTTCTTCTTTGAAGTGGGGCAATTGGCTGTGTAGAGTATCTCCCCTGTCCCCAGACCAGAGAAATACATTCCAATCTACCATTCCAAATTACATTACATTCTACTATTCATTACAATCTACTATTCTAATCTACAATTCCAAATAAGAATGAGTCTAGTATACATTGTGAGATAAGAAACCAATATCCCTGTTAAGTCCTGGGGGTTCCCATTGTTCTTAATGTTGTAATAACTTGCAACTCACAGTTTCCCTTTCTGATCTGTTCCTGAAGTTCTCTTGCAATAAAACAACTACTTTGAGTTCACCCATTGAATGCCCTGGAAGGCTGAAGTGTTCTTCAACAGGTTTCTCAGTCTTGTGATTCTTGATGTCAGAGTTGTGTCCATTTATCCTTTAGCATAGGGTTTGACCTGTTTGACCAATGTAGAGAATCGAAGCGCATTGTTGGCATTTGATGGCATATACAGTGTTAGAAGATGAGCAAGTGAATAAGCCTGAAATGGTGTAGTTGATGTTGTGAGGTCTGTATGTGGCAGCAAAGCTGGAATCTGCATTTATTGCAAGCTCTGGTACCAGTGTCTATATTCAAATTACATGTTGTATTATTGTGGTTGAGGAGGAGTTTGAGATTGGAGGCTTTCTGTGAGCAAAAAAAGGTTTGTCCCCCATTACTTGTGAAAGAGAATTGTCATTATCCAGTAGAGGTTGTAAGTTGCTGAAGATGCGTTGAACTATTTTGAGTTGAGAGTTGTATGTGACCACCATTTTCCCGATTCGTGCCCATCCCTAGTTTCTGCTTTTTTATTTACACCCAGGGGTCATTTCATAGAAAAAGAGCTCGGGGAACTCATTAGCATAACTCATTAGCATATGCCACACCCCCTGACATCAGGGGCCCGGCGGTGGACCTGCAAGGCCAGCGGGAGTGCGAGGAAGCCCTGCCAAGGCCCTCCCTGGCCCCAGGCAGGCAGGGGTGGGGAGAGGCGGGGAGGAAGCAACTTACCCTCCCTCTTCTCCTGCCTCCTCCTGGCTGAATGAGGACTGGAAGCGGGGCGGCCGGAAGCAGGGGGCGGGGCTTCATCATGTGCCCCGCCCCCTGCACCTCACTTGGGGGAACTGCGTTCCCCCGCGTTCCCCCCCGAAATGACCTCTGTTTACACCATATTGCATCATTATGGAAGGAAGACAACCTATTAGTATGGTTTGCTGGCCCTCGCAAGGGCAGGGCAGCTTCCTTCCAAACCATCTCACGCTGTATGGTGAGGGCTATACAGTCAGCCTACTCTGTGTCCAAGATCAAGTGCCTGCTCCATCTCAAAACTCACTTGTCCAGGTCTCAGTCAGTCTCTGCAGCATTCCTCAGCAATGTTCCCTTGGACAGTATTTGCAGGGCAGCCACCTTGTCTTCCCTGTCAATGTTAATTAAGCACTATGTGGTAAACGTCAACTCTAGACGGGATGCAGCTGTGGGGAAAGCAGTCCTTCCGTCTTGTTTTGCTGAAGATCCCACACCCACCTCCTTCCAGTAAGTAAGCTTTCTATTCTCCCATGTGGGACTACACAGAAGCTATAACTGTTGTTCATTGAGTGGTTTTCTGTGCAGGCACACATCCCTGCCTCCTTTCCCTGCTGTGGGATCCTTGTGCTCTTCAGGTCCTTCAATGGCGGTTCAGAAGGACTGAGGGAAGAGGCACTCTCCCCACTCCATCATGTTCTAGCTGGATGGGAAGGAACCAGCTTGCGAGGGGAGGGGGAGAGTGCTCTGAACCTTCTAGAGAGCTTTAAAGAAAGATCTCTGTGACAGGCCTGTGCAAATGTGGCTCCCATGAGTGCCTGCACAGAAGACCCCTTGATGATCAACAGTTACAGGTAAGCATAACCCTATTATCTACCTCATAGGCTTGTTGTGTTGGATAGGATGGAAAAGGGGACTGCGTATGCTGCCCTAAATCCTTGGACAGGATAAAAGAGTAATACATTCGATGAAAAATAGAGTTCTGTCTCCAGTTAGCATGGTGTATACAGACAGGTTTTCCTGGATGAGTTCTGTGTTCCCCTTCAAGTGTGCTTTGTTAGCTCTTGGACAGCCTCTTTCCCAAGAGAAGATTAAGAGTCGCTTCAGTCATTTGCAGGAGGGACAAAATCATCCTATTTAAACATAAAACTGATGTTTCAGGTGGGAATCTGTGAGCTGAACTCTATGCGTTACATCAAAGATCCATAGTTAGATTTTTATGGGTATTTTTTATGCTGTTAAACAGCCACAGTTGGAAAAATCAAAACCAAGTACCTATCTTACTTCTCTCCCCACCCCACCCCCCAGCTGGTGCAGCATGAGGAGCAACAACTTCTGTTCTTCCTTGCACCATGGCCCTGATCAAAATCAGGACAGGCTGTGTGGCTGCTCTAGAGGCCCAGTCAGTGGCTCCTCCATGTATTTCGCTCTGTGCTCAGGTGAGCCATTTTAAAGCCATTGAGCACATTCTAAAAGTGACTTCTAGGCATGTTTTACTAAGAGTAGAAGGTATTCCAGATGGTTTTGCTGAGGTAAATAATGAACTTTTGCCCTTTAAATAAGCAACTGCAAATTGTGGTTTGTCAGGAGAAAATATTATATATGTCTAAAGGGAAAGGTGCTTTTGAAATACGTTACTTTTTAAATGCTGTTTGTTTCCTGGTTTTAATAATAAGAATGTGTATGTGAAAGAGTGATTTTTCCAAATAATAAAATCCCTTGGTTTCTGTAGCTTGGGGGAAGTGGGCAGCAATTGCAGTTCCTTCTAAACCAGCATTTCAAAACCTTGTTGTTCAAAACCTTGTTCAAAACTTATTCCTTGTTGGGACATGGAAACTGCTTTTTATTTTGTTCTTAATTTTTAGGGTGCTTTCAGTTTTTTGGGAAATAGAGAGAAAGGCAGATTGATAAACATCAGTGTTTAAATAAAGTTTTCTGAGTCCGGTGTGGGTTAGGTTTTCCAACTCCGGTCTGGGAAATTCTTTGAGATTGGGGGGCAATGCCTTGGGGGGGGGGTGATTCAGGGAGGGATTTTTGCCTAGAATATATGGTACGGCATAAAGTCCACTCTCATAAACTGCCTCTATGGGAAGTAATCTCTGTAATCTGGAGATCAGTTATATTTCCAGGAGAACTCCAGGTACCACTTGGAGGTTGGCAACTCTAAGCAGAGGACAGAGATTTTTCTGGCTGACTTTTTCACTTTGAAATTTTTGAGGCAGTCTTCCAACACTTAGGCTGTTATGTTTTTCTTTTCCAGATAATTGCTAGCAGTATGCTGGCCATCTCTGTTGTTTTAAACATGATGTGACGTTGTGACCACTGCATTCATGGCCATTGGGTGATCCACTAAATCATGGAGCTGAAAGTATGGGTGGATGGTGTCCAGAGGATTGTTTGTGGTGTCACGGAAGTTACAACATGCCAAGAAGTTGTGATAGCGCTTGCTCAGGCTATAGGTGAGTAGATAGTGTTCTTGTATTCCAGGCTTGTGGTTCATAAACTTTATTCTACGAAAGACCGCTCTTCAGGTTTGCTTGATCCTTATCAGCCACTGCATTTTCTTACTTTCTGACCATCTCACAAGAGATTCCTTGAAGAGGTTCTCTGCCCAGTGGCTTTTTATTGTGTAAACTGGTTCTGTCTACATGATTCCATAATTTACTGTTCCCTTCTCCCATTAGATTTGAGTCCAGTAGCACCTTAGAGACCAAAAAGATCTTCAGGAGATAAGCATTCAAGTGTCAAAGCTCCCTCAGACATGAGTAGGAATGGAGATCTCTGAGTCCTTATTATCCCAGTCAGATGGTAGAAGGGTATTGTAAAGAATGCTTGTAAAGGAAGCAAAGGTACAATGCATGTTGTAATCAGCTTGATTAGAGCAGAGAGGAAATATTTAGGGGTAGAAAATTAGCACCTGTAGTGAGATAAGACTCCTGTGTCCTTATTCAGCCCTGGGGGGTCCATTGTTCTGAACTTGTGAATGAATGCAAGTTCAGCAATCTCATAATCTTCAAAGTGGTCTCTGTGCTTCACACCAATGGGATCTAGTGCGCACGCGCTGGATCGATCGGTGCTGTAGCAAGCTCTTTTAACGGATTTTCGCGCCCAGTCCCTCGCCCATGCGCAGGAACCCCACCGCGCATGCCCAGAGGGGTGGGCGTGGACATCTCACCAGTTCCTTTCTTACCGCCGCGTTGGAAAGACCTTTTTTTCTGTCGGTCTGATCGGTTCGCTGTTCGCTTTTGCCTCACAGCTCTTAGGAATTATTTCCATTCTTTATTTTATCTTTTTAGTGATTTGTTCTTTAAAAACTTAAAAAAAAAACAACCTTTATTTTTCTTCTGAGGGGAATTTACCTCAGGCCTTTGGGCCACCCCCCCCCTTCAACCGTTCCCTCCACTTCTCTTCTTATGGAGAAGAAGTGGGGATTTTTCAACAGATGCAAACGTTGTGGTAGCAAACTTGCTCCTCCCGACCGTCATACCCTCTGCATCTTTTGCCTTGGAGAGTCTCACGAGCCAGAGTCGTGTCTTTCACTGCGCTCGCTTCTCTAACCAAACGAGAAAGAACCGTGCTGCGCGCCTTAGAGTGGCGTTGTTTGAATTGGCCCTTGCTCCTACCTCAGCGATGGAGGAGAGACCGTCTACATCAACAGCTCCGGCACCGAGACCTGCCTCCGATGTCGACCGCCCGACACCAAAGCCATCGACATCGAAGACACGATCGTCCGCCTCTACGCCACTCAAAAAGAAGGCGAAGGCAAGTACAGAGCATAAGTCCGCGGAGAAGAGCACCTCCAAGTCCCTTAAGGTGGCGAAGAAGGGGAAGGAAGCGGTGCCTGCACTAGGTGATGCCCCTATAGTGCCTCCCGCTCCAACGGCAGTATCGATATCGGAGGCCCAAGTCCCTCCACCGATACCGACCATCCATGTATTGGACTCCCCTGTCCACTAAACGGAGCCTCCTTACTCTGCCATCGAAACGGTAGAGCTCCTAAGTCACCAAATGGGTGCAGAGCGTTCTCCGTCTCCTTCTCCGTCGTCGACGGTATCGGAAGCTCCCGACATCGATCCACGTCGGCACCGATACACCTCATGTGATACACAGCGTCACCCTCCACGTCTGTACACTCAATCCGTCGATATCGACAGCCGACATTACAGGGACACGTCTCACAGACATGCTATGCCTTGTCTCCCAGACGTCTATGGTCCAGCGCCCCAAGGATCTTCACAAAAACTATGATTGTGGTTGCAGCCTTCCTCCGTCTCAGGGGTATCTCCATCTACCCATTTATAGACGATTGGCTTCTGGTAGCACCTGCCAGAAACGCCCTGGTCTCCAATGTCACAGAGACTCTAGCACTATTGGAGAATCTGGGCCTCCGAGTCAATCGACAAAAGTCCCAGTTGTGTCCAGTCCAGCGCATACAGTACATCAGCGCAATACTGGATTCTCAGACATGCATGGCTTACCTGCCCCACGACAGGGCAACAGATACCATCTCCTTAGCCACAGTCATCCATATCCAAACCTCTGTCACTGCCTTCCAAGTTCAGAGGCTGCTTGGCCTGATGGCTGCATCAACGTTCGTTTTCGTCTTTGCAAGACTAAAAATGCACCCTTTACAACTCTGGTTCATCCGCAATTACGACCTGTCGAAAAATGCACACACTGTCGTCCTATCCCCTCCTCCCAGCATACAGGACTCTTTACTTTGGTGGACTGTTCCTTTGAATATTCTCCAGGGAGCGCCCTTCCTCCCTCCATCACCCAAGGTCACTTTTACGACGAATGCTTCCCTGACAGGATGGGGTGCACACTCCATGGGCCTCTTGGTTGGAGATAAATGGGATGCATGGATGAGGAAGCGTCACATAAACTTCCTAGAACTGCTGGCTATGCGACATGCAGTAGCCAGCTTCCTACCGTTGATCAAAGGAAAATGTGTCACGGTCCTCACAGACAACACCACAGCGCTTTCCTACGTCAACAGGCAGGGAGGCACAGTGTCCCTTCGCCTATGCAACCTTGCCATCCAATTGTGGGACTTATGCATAGCCAACAATGTATTCCTTGTGGCCACTCACATTCCCGGTCACATGAACGTGCAGGCAGACCATCTAAGCCGAGTGGGACTCAGCCTCCACGTGTGGGGAATGAACCCAACATACCTCCTCCCACTCTTCCACAAGTGGGGAGTTCCCCAAGTCGACATCTTTGCCACACGAAACAACAAAAAGTGTCCTCTGTTCTGCAGTCGAGGAGGCAAAGATCCACAATCTCTGGGAGACGGCCTCCTTTACCCTTGGTCTACGGGACTCCTTTACCTGTTCCCCCCCTTATCCCTCCTTCTGAGAGTGGTCCACAAGATTCTCAACGACGACATGGACTGTATCTTACTAACTCCATGGTGGCCAAGACAACCTCGAGCTATCACAGGGAACTTATTATCAATTCCCTCCCGCTCTGGACCTCCTCCTCCTCTCCGACTCCCCCGTCCTACATCACAACATACCACAGCTGAAATTGACGGCATGGAGGATAATGACATCCACTTCTCCGCCCGTGTAAGGAATGTCCTGTTGAATTCCAGGAAACCCACTACGCGGAGGTCCTACGATTATAAGTGGCATAGGTTCTGTTCTTCGCTTGGAGATGACGTCCCTCGAGCCACCTCTGTGGATCTCGAACAAGTCTTCCAATTCCTGCTCACCCTAGCTGACTCGGGACTTTCCCATTCATCGTTACGAGTTTATTTGGCCACTCTTTCAGCCTACCATGTTCCAGTTGACGGATGCACTTTGTTTTCTCATCCGATTTCCAAACGGTTTTTAAAAGGTTTGTTACACCTCTATCCTCCTGTCAAGGCTCCAGTTGTTCCTTGGAACCTTCCCCTCGTTCACTGCCAGCTTACGCGGAAACCATTTGAGCTGCTTGCAACATGCGACCTCAAACTCCTGGCATGGAAAACAGCCTTTTTAATTGCCATTACCTCGGCTAGGCGAGTGGGAGAACTGTTGGCCTTCCGCCTCGTCCCGGACATCTCCTTCCTGCCGAAGGTGGTGTCAGAGTTCCACCTGCAGGCGGAGGTCTTCCTCCCTAACTTCTTCCCAAATCCAACATCAGCGGAAGAAAAGTTATTGCACACTTTAGATGTGAAATGCGCTCTCCTGTTTTACGTCAACAGAACACTCCCAACTAGACGAGACTTTCAACTATTCGTCTCGTACGCTCCGGCATGGCTAGGTACTCGCATCACGGCTCAATGCCTGTCGAAGTGGATCGTAGGTCTGATCCATCTATGTTACCAGATCGCCAAACTGCCATTACCTGGCCCGATCAGGGCTCATTCTACCAGGGCTGTCACGACTTCCACTGCTTTCCTTCAGGGAGTACCACTGCCGGACATTTGCAAAGCCACTACCTGGGCCACGCCTAACACCTTCATCAGGCACTACGCCCTAGACGTCTGAAAGAACTCTAATACCCACATGGGACATCGCATTTTATCTTCGGCTATGCAGTAATAGTCCTGCCAGCACCCTCCTCCAGGTAGGCTACTACTCGCTAATCTCCCATTGGTGTGAAGCACAGAGACCATGTCAAAGATAAACAGGTTGCTTACCAGTAACTGGTGATCTTTGAGTGGTCATCTGTGCATTCACACCACCCGCCCTCCTTCCCCGCTGCTGTCAGCTTCTACATTTTGAATAGGGGTTGTTTTGCGGCGGTTTGTAGGAACTGGCGGGATGTCCACGCCCACCCCTCTGGGCATGCGCAGTGGGGTTCCTCCGCATGCTCGAGGGACTGGGCGCGAAAATCCATTAAAAGAGCTTGCTGCAGCACTGATCGATCCAGCACGTGCGCACTAGATCCCATTGGTGTGAATGCACAGATGACCACTCGAAGATCACCAGTTACTGGTAAGCAACCTGTTTTTCTCCAGCCCCCACCTGGAAGTTGGCAACCCTAGTTTCCATGGAGGAATAGCTGCTTTGGAGGGTGGAGTCTATGGCATTATACCCCTCTGAGGTCCCGAACCCTCCCCTAACCCGACCCTCCCCATGTTTCACCCCCCAAATCTGTAGTAATTTCCTAGACTGGAGTTGGCAGTCCTATTTCCTTTCCACCCAACAGCTAACTTACTTATGTGCCCCTCTGTGTTAAGCTTTTGCACCTCCCCCACCAGTCTCTACCTAGGAAAACTGTGGCCCAACTATGTGGTGCCAGCCATTGGGCCAGGCCCACATGCCTTGTAGAGAACCTCACTTTCCCCTGTTTCCCACTCCCTACACTATTTTCCTGTTTCCCTCCTCCTGGCAACAGTCATATCCTCTCTCTTTTCCCTGCTCATTCTCTTTCCAGTTTGGTGTAATGGTTAAGAGCGCAGACTCTAATCTGGGAGAACTGGGTTTGATTCCCTACTCCTCCACATGTAGCTGCTGGTGTAACC